CTAGATGATCTTAAGGTCCTTTCCAACCCTAACTATTCTATGATTCTATGATGATCTGCATTGCACTGTTGTGAGGGCAGCTTTAAACTGCTTGGATTGGGCTGGTTTCAATCACAGAATCATAGGTTTAGGCTGGAAGAGACCTTAGAGCTCATCTAGTTCCAACCCCCTGCCATGGGCAGGAACAACTTTCAGGTATCTCTTTTGTGGGGTGGCGCATTATCAGGTCTTCACAACAGAAACTAAACTCAGAAATGGTTCTTGGCAAAACTAAGGCTAATCCAGAGCTGTCGCAGGACTCCTGCTCTACTGACCAATTCTGGCTGCTCCTTTTGGCCAGAACCTGGCAAATAGGGAACAAAGTTCTGATTAAAATCCCAAATTTAGCTTTTAGAAGAGAGAACACTGTCAGGGAATGTGACAGTGAGTATGGAGCCCGTCTGCAGTGCGAGTTGCACTGTGGGGTTATTCCTTTGTTAAGCATGAAGCCAGCAGAACTGCCTCAAATAGTCACACAAATGAGAAACACCTTAGAGAAAAAGGAGCTTTATCAGCAGCCAAGTCTGTAACTAGTCTGGGTTCATGATAAGCATTCCAAGCTGGAAAGCTCCAGACTCAACAAGGCTCAGTAATCCCATAACTGGTCAAAATCAAATCTTTTTGGTTGTGTTGTGCTGGGGATGATCCTGGCATAGCAGAAGGGACGGGCAAAAACCTTGTGCTGTCTCTTAATCTGGAGAATGTATCTGGTGTTGTTGTGGTTTGGGAGGAAATGACTGCTTTATTATAAAATATAATGTAATAATTTCATTTAAAGGGTGCATCCTCAGCTTGGGATTTCTTGTGGAGACCACAGCAAAATGAGCACATTGAGTTGTAGGAAGTGACTTAGGATGATTGAGCTATTTGGGTGAGATACATAATGCTTTTTCCACCATACTACATATGCCAGAAACTTAGCGGTATGGGATAGCAACAGTTGAGGGATTTACAGTATCCAAGTATCTCCAGGCTGCTTCGAGGTATTACAAGATGAGGAATACTACCTGGGAATTGTATTTGATTTTCTTGCCTTGAGGCAGAATGCCCTTTCTTCAAGCAGTATGTCATGTCTGCAGGTGCTTAGGGTTAAGGCCTAATTGTTTTCCCAAGCAGTGTCTGAGTTGCTGTAATTCCTGCACATATTTAAGCATCTAGTGTATGCAGAGGCTAGTAAGGCTCTTCTTAGGAAGTGTTTGCTTATGTAGAATTCACTAGGCCTTGGCAAGCATATAGTAAATGATAGAATCCCAGACTGGTTTGTGTTGAAGGGAGCTTAAAGCTCCTCCAGCTCCAACCCCTGCCCCGGGCAGGGACACCTTCCACTAGAGCAGGTTGCTCCAAGCCCCTGTGTCCAACCTGCCCTTGAACACTGCCAGGGATGGGGCAGCCACAGCTCCTCTGGGCACCCTGTGCCAGCGCCTCAGCACCCTCCCAGGGAACAGCTTCTGACTCAGAGCTCATCTCAATCTCCCTGGAGCGCAGCAGAGGGGAAGAATCCCCTCCCTTGACCTGCTGTTCACACTCTGACTGCAGCCCAGCACATGGGGGTGTTCTGGGCTCAAGCACACACTGAAGCTGGGTTGTGAGGAGCTTCTCATCATCCAACATCCCAAGTCATTCTCAGGGCTGCTCTCAATCCATCTCCGCCTAGCCTGCATTTGTGCTTAGGACTGGGATAATCCAGTTTTAGTCCAGCATAATGCCTGGCATCCTGGTAAATGGCTTGTAGCCACCAGTGTGGTGCACATGTGGCAGCTATCTCACCAAAATGCAAGCTTCTAAAGCATGGTAACATATCAAAGTACGAACACAATCAAGGAGAGGTTCACATCACAAGTCTTAAATGATTCTTGAAATGATTAAATGATCAACCCCCTGTGGCAGGGGGTTGGAACCAGATGAGCTTTGAGGTCCCTTCCAACCCAAACCATTCCATGATTCTCAGCACTGGGCTTTAGATATCAGGTCTCAGATTAAAAATACACAAAGCAAATGGTAGGAGCTCCCTTTTCGTGGCCGGTATCGTCCTGGCATCTCTTGACCATTGGTACAGCGATGAGCTCTGAGCCTTGCACCGCATGGAGGTTTTTGCATGAGGTATTGCCCTCTTGTGGCTGTTCAAGGGAAAGGTGGGTAACTGCCAGTGGAAGTGGCACCAAAGCAGCTTCAGAAGCTGGAAGGGCACAGTCCTAGTTCTTCCCCCAGCTATGGATGAGATTGATCTCTTTACTGTATCTCTTTCTGGCATCTGGGCTTATTACAGAATGATCAGCTCCGCTTTTTGTTGCAAAACCTCAAGTTTGATGGTCCTAGGGCTAATTGGAGTACATAAATACCTGGACCGTAAGGATTTATTTCAACCCCAGATCTGTACAATCATATCAGGAAAGGCCTGTGCTTTATAACTCTTGGAGAACTCCAATTTATCTCTGACATACATGCAGAAGTCTTAATTTTGTACGAGATGCACACTGCAAACATGACAAACAGGCTTTAAGAATGACTGACAGCATCATTCATGTTGACAGTGTAGAAGCTATGGGCAGGTAATAGCGGGATAGAAGCAGTACATCAGATGGAAAGTGATGCTCCAATAAATGAATGCATAATTCATGGATGCTTTCTGGAACCAGAGGGGAATTTTTGTCAGCTCTTCATAGTGCTAATAATTTGTGTCCCTTCTTATGCCAAGGTACACGTCTGCTTCAAGTAGTGCATGGATTTCACAAGTGGTTGATCTTCTGTCACTTCTGTAGGAGCTATACAAAAATGAAAAGATTTCTCCTCTCAAGAATTAGAGATTGCCCATAAAACCAGCATGGAAAGCATTTACACTGGCACATGGTGGTGTGCTGGCTGCCCTTGTGCTGGGGCTGCGACTGCTCCATGGCAGTCACTCAGGTTCTGCTCTTCATTCACCCTGCAAGGACACTGCTGTCACTGCCCTCTTCTAAGGTATGTGCCTTTTGCAGAGGGGCTGTTGCCCAATTTATTATGATCCAGTATGTGTAAGCAATAGACTTCAGGCTCCAGAGCAAGACAAATTGGCCTGAGAACAATTTGTGACCGAGTAGTTTTAAGGGTGTAGTTTAGATTAAAGAAGTTGGAACACTGGACTCCCGAGATGTGAAACTTCAGTAACCTGGAATGACTGAGTTGGGCTGGCAGGACCCAGGGAGATGGACACCATTGATTTCTTTCTCCTGGGAGCAGACTCAGGTATCAAACCACAGCCCTCCAAAAAGGTCCTGCAACATGAATACCATAGAAAGCGAATGGTTCAGTGTGGAGCAATAGTTTATCGCATTAGTCTCCTTTGACAATATTCTTTGAAAGCGACATAGATGCAGTAAAGGCAGCATCCAAAAAAGCTTCAGAGACTCCTCCCCAGATACATCTTCACATGTATAAAAGCTCATTAAACAGGTGCTCACCCTTGCAGGCAAGCTTTAGCCAGTGCTTGCAGATGCCTGCATGAGGCTACTAAATCTGGAGCCATCGCTTCCTTAATAGATTGTTGCTCCAGAGATTACAGTGAAATCATTTTCCTGTCATATGTAGATATTCTAACCACGTGTTGAAAGAAGAAAAGAGAGAGTCATGTTTCCTGGAGATACAGATGACTGTGTAGAGCCAATAACTAATCCTTTGCAGCAGTGAGTATTTCTGTGTTAGGTTTCTGTTGTATTTCACCTGGATTTCCCATAATAAGAATGAGTGATGTTGGGATTTAAAGTACCATGTGCCTTTTGTTTCTGCTAAAATGTATCTTATGGTGGTTTAAGCTGTTGTGAGAACATGAGACAATAAATGAGCCTGTCCTAGATGGGATATGTCGCCTATTTCACATGTTCTCTGTATCTCTCATAAATGAGAATCTGTTTTGATATTCAATCACCTCATGATCATGCTCTAATCTTCAAGCAAGGAGTTGCTTGTGCCAAACTTTGCTTTACCTCTCTATAGGGCTATGAGGTAAAGCGTTACTTTAAGTACCGAGTTTAATTCAGTGTAGCAGTGCAGGGTAGAGAGATCCTTCAACGCTGATCCTAGACTACTTTGAATTGGGAAAAGGGGATGGGAAGTCCAGCTAGTCCTGGAAGGACTAAAAATGTTATGTAATTCCATAGGGTAAAATATAGAAAGAAGGGAGGTCTTTAAGTGGATGCTAGATTATACCTCTCTATATCCCACTGGATAAAGCCAAAAAAAAATCTGGGATATATTACCTGTGTGTTGATTACGAGAGAGATAATTCTTCTCTTACAGCATTACTTGCTTAAAATCAAGTCTTTAGCTTCAGTTAGTAATCTGGACCCCTTTAGTGATGTTATCATCACTATTATTATTGTTAAACCCTAATTTATGCTGAAAGGATTTCTAGAGATAGAATCCCAGACTGGTTTGGGTTGGAATGGACCTTAAAGCTCCTCCAGCTCCAACCCCTGCCACGGGCAGGGACACCTTCCACTAGAGCAGGTTGCTCCAAGCCCCTGTGTCCAACCTGGCCTTGAACACTGCCAGGGATGGGGCAGCCCCAGCTTCTCTGGGCACCCTGTGCCAGCGCCTCAGCACCCTCACAGGGAAGAGCTTCTGCCTCAGAGCTCATCTCAATCTCCCCTCTGGCAGATCTGTCTCCACTCCCCTTGCTCAGAGTGCTGCTGCCTTCAAAGCCCAGTTGGATTGCTTGGGACTGTGTCCAACCAAGGTAACCACCACAGAGGAGGTACCTTTGTCTTTGACTGTCAGCACTTTGGCTTGTAAGAATTAAACCTTTTTGATTAATCACTGTTTAGTTTAATACCTGTATTTTGCCTTTAGGTTAGATTTTTGAGTGTGGCAATGTAAATTTGCTAATGTTTCTGAACTGCAAAACAGACCATAAAATATCACACTCTTTAGAAAGGAGATGCAATTTAACTAAGTTACAACTACTTCTTTCTTCCAGGTAAACCTCTGCAATCATTTCCACACTGAAAGATAAGATGCAGAGGGGCAACCTCTCAATGGGATCTGAATTTGTTCTTGTAGGCCTTTCTGATGCTCCAGAAGTCCGTTTTCTTCTCCTTGTGTTGTTTTTGATCATTTATTTGGCCACTGTGGCAGGCAACATCTCAATCCTTGTTGCTATTAGCACAAACACTCATCTGCACAACCCCATGTACTTCTTCCTTGGCAACTTATCCTTACTGGATATCTTATGTCCCACTATCATTGTGCCAAAGATGCTGGAGGCCTTGTTGCTAGAGAACAAGGTGATTTCATTCCATGGCTGCATGTTCCAGCTGTTCTTCCTTATTGATGTCATAGGCACGGAGATTTTCCTCTTGGCTGTGATGGCATATGACCGTTACGTTGCAATATGCCATCCGCTGCAGTACATGAATATCATGAGCATGAAGCTGTGTGCTCACCTCGCCACTGGCACCTGGGTAGCAGGGTTGTTAAACTCCCTGTTACACACATCTTTGATTTTTACACTCTCTTTTTGTGCTTCTAATGAAGTTGACCAATATTACTGTGATATCCCTCCCATGCTGGCCCTCTCCTGCTCCTCTACTTACAGTAGGGAACTGGTAATTCTCACAGTTGCTGGGGCCGTTGGGGGCAGCGCCTTTGTGGTCACTCTGATCTCTTATATCTACATCCTCTCAGCTATCCTATGCATGAACTCTTCTGAGAGCAGGCACAAAGCTTTCTCCACCTGTGGGTCTCACTTGACAGCAGTTTGCCTTTTCTACGGGGCCACCATTTGCACATATGCACGGCCTTCCTCTGCCTACTTGCCTAAGCAGGACAGGATAGTTTCTATGCTCTATGGAATCCTCACTCCCCTGCTAAACCCCATAATCTACAGTCTGAGGAACAAAGAAGTGAAATGTGCCCTGAGAAGAGTGATCAGCCAGGTAAGAACTGTTTTAATAAGACAAGAACATCATTCTCTGTCTCTGGCACCCTCTGGAGCCCCACCAGCTGGATATGAACTTTGATTTGTGACTGACCTTCTCTAACTTTAGCCATCTAAAAGTTGGATGCTGGAATAAAAACTCCTTCTCTGGGCTCTCTTTGAAGTTAACAGAAGCATGCACCTCCAGGAGACCAGCTGGATGCTACAGTTTTTGGTCACTATCACAGGAGGACATGATTTCAGCTGGTAATGTTATTCTCCACCAAGCACAGAAGAAGCTTAGATGAGAGCCTGAGCCTTATACACAGGTCTTGAACATGTATCTTGGAGCGTGAATGTTGGGAGATGATCCTGTAGGCACACTTAAGATATACATATATACATTCTTTTGTACTAAAGCAACTTATAGGACTGGTGCCTCTTATAGACCGCATTGCTCCTGCAGAAAACATGAGCACATTCTTTGTGGGAGGCTAACTGGAAGAAAGGCTCCTTTGTCATCATTTAAAACCACCAGTCTGGGTGTGTTTTCAACCAACAAGCCAAGAATCCAACTGCAACACCTGCAGTGCCATCAGGAACTATCTGGCCACAGTTTGCACCATGTATCTCAAAATCAGTCTGCCAGGGAGTGAATTGACTCCCATAATCATGGAATCAACTGGGTTGGAAAAGACCTTTAACATCAAGTCCAACTGTTCCCCAGCACTGCCAAGCTCACCACTAAACCGTGCCACTAAGGGCTTTGTGTACATGGCTTTTGAACACTTCCAGGAGTGGTGACTCCACCACTGTCCTGGGCAGCCTGTTCCAGTGTCTGAAGTAGAGATGTCAACTGTGCTGATGTCTATATATTAGACAGCTTTAAGACTCCTTTTATGGCCAGTGGGGGAAAGGGAGGCTTTGTAGTCATGGGCTTTGTGATCATTGCTCTGGCTTTTCCCAGTGCTGGCAGAATGAAGGGAGATTTGCAGAGTGTCTTTAGGTCTGTGTGAGTCCATAAGTAAGAACAGTGATTCACATCAGGCAGAAAGTGAAACCAGGGCTGACAAAAGAAGAAATGCATGTGCAGAGAGGTGGGGTGCTGTGCAGTCTGCTCTGTGTTGTGGCTATATATCTGTGTATCTCTTAGCTACAAGGCTCTGTGCTAGGATGATAAACTCTTACACTTGAGATGGACCTTGGGCTACGTTGAAGCGCTGTGATGTGCCATTCCACCTGTTGTGCTGGGTGCTAAATCACTGCTGTGACTTCGTTGCTTGCACACTACTTACTAAAACCACATGTGAAGGATGTCTGTCTCAGTGGCCTTTTCTGTGGTTGCTGTCTTGGTGTGAAAGATAAGCTAATGACCTCGCTGCAGGAACTTGTATCTTAGTGGTAACAAATGCACATTCTTAATACTAAACCAGTGGAAATCACTTAAGCTTCATCCGTTCTCAGCTGCTGGTCACAGGTTCAAAAGTCAACTGCAATGACCAAAGAGCTTTTTCTGGATTTTCTGGGATTTTCTTTTGGTTTTAAAGTGTATCTCACCAGCTTAAGAAAATGCATGTAACTCCATCTGAGACCATTTAAACTTCAAAGCCAAGCATTAAGAAGTTTGGGCTACCCATGTAGCTGTAACACTATGAAACTTCCCACAGAGTTCAATGCCATAACCTACACTATGGTTGGGATTTGGTTTTCTAAGCATGAGTTTTAATAGCACATAAGGTGACCCAAAGTATCTTTCCTGGTCCATAGTTCCTGCTCCATGAAACATACAGACTACTTAGAGTAAGGTGAAAAGATCAGAAGTTCTCTACTGATAAATAGGGGCTATTGCCCTATTATTGGGCAACCTGGTCTAGTGTGATGTGTCCCTGCCCATGGCAGGGGGTTGGAACAAAATGGTCTTAAGGTCCTTTCCCACCCAAACCATTCTGTGGTTTGGAAGCAGAGTCCCAGATGTTTTCATGGGGTTTCCTGTGGTTCTGGAAATACAACAGTGGAAACCATTAAAAATCCCCCAAACATCCCAAAGCCATCTGACAACTCACAAGACATGCATCGATGTGGACAAAGTGACAGTGTGTGCTCCAAGAAATGCACACAGGAAGCTCAGTATAGGCTGAAGCACTGTTCTGCTTCTGGGGTCAGCTTAAAGCCATCCCCCCCTTGTCCTTTCACTACAGGCCCTTGTAAAAAGTCTTACTCCAGGTTTCTTGTAGGCCCCTTTAGGTATTGGAAGGCTTCTATAAGGCTTGCTTTTCCTTTGACGGGGACAGCCAACCCACTTGCACATTTAATTACTCTCTTTTGACAATTCTCAGGTTCTTTTAGGCCTGTTTGGACTCCTGAATCTCTGTGGTACTCAGAGAGAGAGAGAAATACAGCCTTGCTACTGCTCTTTAAAGGGCTTATTTGACCTCTCTGTTCCTCAGGCTGTAAATCATAGGATTCAGCATGGGAATCACCAGAGCATAAATGGAGTGATGATCTTGTGCTCCATAGAGAATTGTGAACTGGGTGGTAAATACATGAAGAAGCCTGTTCCATAAAACATGGTTGCAGGAGTCAGGTGGGAAACAGAGGTGGAGGAGGCTTTTCATCTGCCTTTGGACTTAATCTTGTAGATGGCAACTCTGGTGCAGATGTAGGAGATGAGAATGAGGAGGATGGTTGAGGTGATGAGCACAGCTGCACCGGTGAAGTGGTCCTTGATGTATGTGATGGAGCATGAGAGCTTCAGGATGAGGGGCACAGCATAGAAATGACAGCGCAGGAACTGGCCCAGAGACCTGCTGTAGGCATCAAGGATTTTAGCCCCACAGCTGGACACTGGCATCTCCTTGTCTGGTCAGTGAGCTTGTGAGAGGCAGCTACAGGCACTCAGAGAGCCCTGTGGTCCCCAAAGGTCCCTGCGATGCTCTGCTAGCCTGGGATGGGGCTGGAGCATCAGGGACACTGTGTGCTGGGGTTGGAGGAGCTGCTGTCAGGGAAGGCTTGGAGAACAGGTTAAGTTTAACCAAAGGACCTGTCCTGCAGGGTGGCAGAAGGGGCTGGCCAGGGCAGGGCTGAGGAGGAGCTCTAGGAGCAGCAACCACCTTGCCCACGCTTCTCCCCTTGGCCAGGTCCCCCTGCTGGGACAGCACAGTTTCCCCAGTGCCCCTGAGCCCACCTTCCCTTTCCCATCCCCAACACATCCTGCTGCCCCTCCAGCAGGGCTCAGTCCACTTGCATGGCTCTTTGGAGACCCACAAACATGTTTGCTTACAAGAACAGAGGGCTCACGGAGAGCAGGAGCCGTGGGAAGCCTGGCCCTGCCTCTCCACACCATGGCAGCTGTATTCAGTGGGAGAGCTCTCCGGGGATGAGGACACCTTCCTTCGTCGCTGCCGGATCTTCTCCAGCACCACACGAAGGGTGTTGCCAGTCGATGCTGCTGCAGTGTCCTGGGTATCCTGGGCTGGGCATGGTTGACATGAGCACAGATTCCTGGTGACAGGGGCACCGCAGGGCTGCTGTGGGGATGGGCTGTGCTGGCTGGGGATGCCCTCCGGGCAGCAGGGGTTTGAGGTTGGAGCTATCTCAGGTGGGCTTCCCTGTGAGACGCCATCGGGAGTCCATCTGCTTTGCCTGTCTGTGCTCCCGGAGGTGCCCTGGGACCATGTTCCACAGCCTAGGGAGCTCTCGGAGCTGCCAGAGCTCTGCCTCCTCGAGGACCACCACTTCTGCCTGCCCTGGCTTGCTTCGTTCCCCCGGGGCTTGGATGGTGTGTTCCCTTCCCTGCTGGTGCTGCTCGTGGTGCTCTCCAGAGGGGCTATCCCACTTGGGAAGCTGCCATCAGCAGGTCTGGCTTGTTGCTTGCAGCAGCCACAATGGCTCTGTGGGGCTTCTGGGGCTGTTGCCATGAAGCCTTCATGGGCTGACCACATGTGTGCTCCTTGTCCTGGCTCTGGTTTGGTGTCCATAGCAGGGAATGCTGGGATAAGGCTTGGGGACACAAGGGTGGATGCTTGCCCTGCTGAGTCCTTCGCCATCCCACAGGGTGTCCTTGGTGCATCCTTGGTGGCTGTGCCCATCTCACTGCCAGAGCTGCAGGATGTGCTGGGCTGGGTCCTGCCCTCCAGGGATGCCTGGCTGCTCTCATCCCCTGGAACAGGGCTGTAGGAGGCAACACAGTCCAGGCAGGAGCACGGTGTCATGGGGACCATAGTGCAGGTGAGGGATGCCTGAACCCGCTGCTGCATGACCCATTCCTTTTGGATGAGCTGCTTCGCTTTTGGCACAGGGGCACGGTCCTTGCGTGGCCGAAGATGCCCAGCCCCAGCCTGCCTCAGTTTGGCCAGTGAGCGATGCAACGTACCCATGGACCTCTGCACTGCCGTGGGGAGCATCTGGAGTTTTATCTCCAGGCATTTTCTTGCTGTGTGTGTCCAGAGTTTGCTGTGGACCTTCTGGTTCAGCTCCAGCCTTGCGATGCTGATAGGTGCTGTGGCACAGGACCAGCTCCTGTCCCCAGCGGGGGCCTGGCCCCTGCCTTGTGTGGGGACATTAATCTGACAGCCAACATCTTTCTTCAGTAGGATGGAAGCTGGTCCTGCTTCTGGTCCTGCTGCTCCATTACCCAGGCTGGGAAGGGCAGGGGAAGCTAAACCAAAAGGCCACAGGCACTCCTTGTCCCATGGCGACAAAGCCCTGTCCAGGTGAAGGAGGCTCTTCCTCGGTGTATCCCCCTCTGGTGCTTGGATGGCTGGTTTCTCCTCAGAGCTGCGTGTGCTCTGTGGTTCCTGCTGTCCTGCTTTGTGCTGTCCCGCTGCACTGGCATTGCCGAGGGCCCTGGGCTCCCCTGCTCTGTTCTCCTTCGGCAGCTTTGGGGCCAGGGGACCGAGCAGCGGTGGAGGGCACAGCACCAGCAGTGCCAGGGATTCCTCGGTGGGGTTGGGGTCCCCCCACAGCCTCCGCACTTCCTTCTCCTTGATGGTATCCACAATGGCATTCGCCTTGGCCTGCATCGAGGGGCTCAGCTCGTGCCGCAGCAAGGGCTGCCTCTGTCCGGGCAGGATGAGCCTGGGCAGGACACGGGGGGGACCCGCCGGCGCTGGCTGCGTGGCTG